GAATTTCCGAATTTCTGAGTTTCCGAATTTCTGAATTTCTGAATTTCTGAATTTCTGAGTTTCCGGATTTCTGAATTTTTGAATTTCTGAATTTTTGAATTTTTGAATTTCTGAATTTTAGAATTCCTGAATTTCCGAATTCCTGAATTTCCGAATTTCTGAATTTTAGAATTTCTGAATTTTTGAATTTCTGAATTTCTGAGTTTCCGAATTTCCGAATTTCCGAATTTCTGAGTTTCCGAATTTCTGAATTTCTGAATTTCTGAATTTCTGAATTTCTGAGTTTCCGGATTTCTGAATTTTAGAATTTCTGAATTTTTGAATTTCTAAATTTCTGAATTTCTGAGTGGGATCTGAAATTTGGAATTTTGGAATTTCAGAATTTCAGAATTTCAGAAGCTCAGAATCTCAGAATTCCTGAATTTCTGAATTTCTGAATTTCCGAATTTTCGAATTTCCGAATTTCTGAGTTTCCGAATTTCCGAATTTCCGAATTTCTGAGTTTCCGAATTTCTGAATTTCTGAATTTCTGAGTTTCCGAATTTCTGAATTTCTGAATTTCTGAATTTCTGAATTTCTGAGTTTCCGGATTTCTGAATTTTTGAATTTCTGAATTTTTGAATTTTTGAATTTCTGAATTTTAGAATTCCTTAATTTCCGAATTTCTGAATTTTTGAATTTCTGAGTTTCTAAATTTCTGAATTTTTGAATTTCTAAATTTCTAAATTTCAGAAGCTCAGAATCTCAGAATTCCTTAATTTCTGAATTTCTGAATTTCCGAATTTTCGAATTTCCGAATTTCTGAGTTTCCGAATTTCCGAATTTCCGAATTTCTGAGTTTCCGAATTTCTGAATTTCTGAATTTCTGAGTTTCCGAATTTCTGAATTTCTGAATTTCTGAATTTCTGAATTTCTGAGTTTCCGGATTTCTGAATTTTTGAATTTCTGAATTTTTGAATTTTTGAATTTCTGAATTTTAGAATTCCTTAATTTCCGAATTTCTGAATTTTTGAATTTCTGAGTTTCTAAATTTCTGAATTTTTGAATATCTGAATTTCTGAATTTCTAAATTTCTGAATTTTTGAATATCTGAATTTCTGAATTTCTAAATTTCTGAATTTTAGAATTTCTGAATTTCCGAATTTCTGAATTTTAGAATTTCCGAATTTTCGAATTTCCGAATTTCTGAGTTTCCGAATTTCCGAATTTCCGAATTTCTGAGTTTCCGAATTTCTGAATTTCTGAATTTCTGAGTTTCCGAATTTCTGAATTTCTGAATTTCTGAATTTCTGAATTTCTGAGTTTCCGGATTTCTGAATTTTAGAATTTCTGAATTTTTGAATTTCTAAATTTCTGAATTTCTGAGTGGGATCTGAAATTTGGAATTTTGGAATTTCAGAATTTCAGAATTTCAGAAGCTCAGAATCTCAGAATTCCTGAATTTCTGAATTTCTGAATTTCCGAATTTTCGAATTTCCGAATTTCTGAGTTTCCGAATTTCCGAATTTCCGAATTTCTGAGTTTCCGAATTTCTGAATTTCTGAATTTCTGAGTTTCCGAATTTCTGAATTTCTGAATTTCTGAATTTCTGAGTTTCCGGATTTCTGAATTTTTGAATTTCTGAATTTTTGAATTTTTGAATTTCTGAATTTTAGAATTTCTGCATTTCTGCATTTCTGAATTTCTGATTTTCGGAATTTCTGCATCTCTGAATTTGGAAATTTCTAAATTTCTGAATTTCCGATTTCTGAATTTCTGAATTTCTGAATTTCTGAATTTCTGATTTTCTGAATTTTTGAATTTTTGAATTTCTGAATTTCTGATTTCTGAATTTCTGAATTTCTGAATTTCTGATTTTCTGAATTTCTGATTTTCTGATTTTCTGATTTTCTGAATTTCTGATTTTCTGAATTTCTGAATTTCTGAATTTCTGAATTTCTGATTTTCTGATTTTCTGATTTTCTGATTTTCTGAATTTCTGATTTTCTGAATCGTCTGATTTTCTCAATTTCTGAATTTCTGATTTTCTGATTTTCTGAATTACTGAATTTCTGAATTTCTGATTTTCTCAATTTCTGATTTTCTCAATTTCTGAATTTCTGAATTTCTGAGGGGATC